AAAATTATTTCATATATTACTAAATAATCTTAGTACTCTGGTCTCATCAGCACACAATGACCTATCTAAATCTCTTGAATATAATAGCATTTATTTTTATGTTTCTATTAGTTTTCCAGTATTTTGTAATTATAAATGCTTCCAGGGTCATACTGCACCATGCAGTTTTGCTTTTAGGCAAAGGCATTTGTGGACTAAATTCCTCCTATGTAATTTTATGTCAAGATGTAAGTGTGTTTTGTGTTATGATATATACTGAAAAATTGTCTTCCAAATAGGATTCCACAGTTCATAACCTTCTTCTAAAGAGTAAGATAGTGTTTGTTTCATGTATGTTTGCTATACTAAATATTACCAAGTTCTTTTGTGTATTAAGTTTATTTTTTTAGTTCTCAAAGTCATGAGCACCTATAAAGTACTTTCTGAAACATTAAAGAATTCTCAAATATATTTATTACTGGATCAGTAGTATTTATCCAGTGTTCATTTCATTAAAAATGTGCATGACCCACATAGATAGTCTTTCCATAAGTAGAATATTATTATAATCAAGCCATATCATATTGAATGTCACATCAATGAAATTTATTGTGTCCTACTGCTTTTCTCTTCATGATCCATTGGACAATTCTTTTCTTTCATTGATTTTTACTTTGCAAATCAGAGTTCCTCAAATCAGCTCTACAAGTGAATTTTCTTTAACTATAGAACCTTTTCTAGATTAAAAACAAACAAACACACAAACAAAAACATTCTAACTGACTGAGTTTTCATAATACTTAAGTCTTTTTTGAGGTTCACATGTAGTATTTCCATAAGCAGAATGAGAACTTACCATTCACTGGTCAAGAAGATAGAAGCCCACAGTTATAATTTTTGGCTTTGTTATCTGTGTGGTCTTGAACAAATTGTTGTCTCATTATTTTAAAGTGGGAATTGGACTTCCCATTTTTGTATCTTCAAACGATCTTTAAAAACAGTTCGTGAAGGACAACTATATGTACTTTGAAAACTGTAAAACTAAAATTTGCTTTTTTTGCAAGCTCTGTCACCTTACAATGTGGAGGTCATTTGAAATCTTACCAGGAAATTTACCATTTAGCAGATGTGATGAATATTTGTGTGTATGATTTTGCTTCCTTTTCCTGTTTACATTTGTGGATGCTCAGCTTTTAAAACTGCATGATGATCTGTAAAGTTTCCTGTAAATAAGTAAAACTACTTTTTTTTTCACTGTTTATGTTAAAAATTGGAATTTTTCAGATGGGTCTGGACATTTCATTTTTAATTTTCTTTCACAAAAGTCACAAATATGAGTGATATTTTAAAATTACTGATGATACCGGAGAATTATTAGTATTTCATTTTCATTTTGTCCTTGTTTGTTATATATGAATATCTGAATTTCTATTTCCTGAAACAGAGAAAATGTATTTGTTTTTATTAGAATGAGAAATGCTTTTAGTAATTACATTTTGTCCTATTTATGTATATTGAAGGTCAAGTGGATATCATTGGAAATCTGGAAAAGTGGCCAATTTGAGTAATAAGTCACATATGATTTCACAAAATAACGGTACTACTATTAAGGTAAGAAGATGCCATTTAATTCTCAGTCAATTTGCTATGCACAAAGATATAAATTATTTTAA